AAAGGGGGGGAAAGGGGATAGGGAAATGGTATACTGTATACTGAACCTTCTATTCCCAAACAAGATCCGTGTTCAGCTACAGTGGACAGATCCGTGTTCAGCTACAGTGGACAGAGAATGGAAAATTTATTCTTTTTTTTTAAACTCTAGTTCCCAGAAAATTTGGACTTGCAAGGCCAGCCAGAAGGATTCTGGAATGACACCTTCCTAGCTAATAAGGCTCAAGCAAGCCAATGCACTCTCACATATCCTCCACCCAACTTTTCCAACTGTCAGCCAACATTTGGTGTCTTCTAGAAGCCACTGACCATGTTCAACTACAGTGCTGCCTCGCATTACGACGTTAATTCCTTCCAGCGAAATCGCTGTAGAACGAAAACGTCGTAATGCAAAAATACAAAACCCACTGAAACGCATTAAAACCCGTTTAATGCATTCCAATGGGCTAAAAATTCACCGTCCAGCGAAGATCCTCCATAGGGCGGCCATTTTCGGTGGCTGTCTTGCGAGGAATCCGTCCCAGAAAACAGCGGGGAGCCATTGTATTTACCCGGGGGCCCTTTTGAAGCCGCCGATCAGCTGTAGGAAAATTGTCATTTTGCAAAGAATCGGTTCCCGAAGCAGGGAACCGATCATCGCAAAGCGAAAAAAGGCTATTCAGACCATCATTTTGCGATCGCAAAAGTGTCATCGTAATGCAGGGCAATCGTAAAGCGGGACACGACTGTACTTTACAGCCAGGAGGCGCCCCTCTGCAGTCTAATGCCCTCCCTCCGTAAGTTTAGTTCTGGTTTGGGACATGTAAGATTTAGGCTTAAAATCCCTCTAAGCCAGTGGTTCCCAACCTTGAGTATTCTTGGACCACAACTCCCAGAAACCTTGGCCAGCATAGCTGGTGGTGGGTTTAGTTCTGCCTTGTTCAAGGTTTGATTTGGCAACCAAAAGTTTGGGTTTGGGACATGTAAGATTTAGGCTTAAAATCCCTCTAAGCCAGTGGTTCCCAACCTTGAGTATTCTTGGACCACAACTCCCAGAAACCTTGGCCAGCATAGCTGGTGGTGAAGGCTTACCCAAGGGTTACCCAAGGTTGGGAACCGCTGCTCTGAACCAAGAAACTCACTGGGTAACCTTTGGACCAGGGTCATTCTTTTTCTCAGCCTACGCTACCTTTCTAGAGCTGTTGCGAAGGCAAAGTGGCAAGAAGGCGAACCATGTACAATCATCACATTGAACTTGCCGGGGGAAAGAGCATCAGTATGTTCAAACAGAGTTTCAATACAAGAAAGATACGACATGAAAGTAACTAAGGAATAAAATAAATTAGGCTTTCGTTCTGGAACTGAACTAGCTCAGTTCACTACTAGATGGAACGATGCCATCTCTGTAGATTCATCCTGTCTCCATATGTCAGGGAATATGCGTGCCTCCTTCTGTTTAAACAAGGGGCTTGGATGATGGGATTAAGATTGCAATCTAGCAGGTTTTTAACCTGCCTGACTGTTACAGGTTGCAGCCTCCAGTGTTTATTTTAGCTGCCATTTTAAGCTACAACTTTTAAAAAAAGAAAGAAAACAGAATTAAATATATCTAAAAGCGTTCACACGCACACATGAGCAATAACTGAAAAATGTTTATTTTAGCTGCCATTTTAAGCTACAATGTTTTTAAAAAAAGAAAACGGAATATATCTAGGTATGTTTACATGCACACATGAGCAATAACTGAGAAGCTTGAACCTCAGATGGCATTAGGATGCTTCTGGAGAAAGCAGAGAAGAATTTTTTCCTAAGTGACAGGCTTGCTAGAGGTACCCAGTTATCCTAATACAGATCCGTTTTACACCTGATTACATACAATGCTAGGAGCAGCTTTCCCTGTTATTCTTCTAGTGGATTTCAATATGTAGCATCATCGGAAGCATGTTGCTTAGATATAAATTCAACAGAGTCTATACCTTTTTAGGGTATGCTTCCGTTTGCATTAGTAGGTTATGTGTGACTCTAGTCACTATTTGTAACTAAATACTGGAACTTTTTGAGCACAAGTAAAGCTATAACGCTTTGCCTTTAGTTTTATTTTTTTTTACCCAGACTCTTTCTTGAAGTACTGTAACTACATGGACAGAAGCAGCGCAGTTGTTAATAGCACGCAGTGCTTTAATGCTTAGCACAAAATACAGAAGCCCTGGTTAGATGCTGGAGACTAACTTCCTAGCCATCAACCTCATGGGCCCTCAAGTAGGCAGTAGCCTACTATGCAGGATTGTTGTGAAATAAAACAAACCCTCTATGCCAATAGAGCTCCACAGAACAAGTAAAAGGGAATGCATTATTTGTCAGGGCTGTAATTAAATGACACCACGCACAATCTTTACATCTGTGAAGCTGCTATACCAGTACAACTGAGCACGAGCAGGAAGTCATTAGCTCCAATTAAAATTCACTACGAAGCCTTAAAAAACAACTTTCCATCTGCATTACGGCACTTTTAATTATGATCTTCCTCATCAGGTTGTCGCAAGAACTATGAAGACAACTTGTAAGAAGGCACCCCACTCCAGAGATGCAGAATAGGACCCAGAACACAAGATCAAACCTCAGGATCCCTTAAGCATAGTAGGGCCGGGGGCATGGAAAGGACTCTGCTTTTTACTTTTCAGGAGCAATATTAATACTGTCAGCTAACTGGATCATTGGTCTAACTTTGCATAAGCAAAATTGCCTACACACAAGAATTCTGCGAGTGTTGGAATCCATTTTCAGTGTGATATGCGTGTGACACTGTATATACAACTTTGGCACCTCTTGGAATAACTGTTCCAAATAACAAATTACTTCTAACCATTGCCTTTTTGCAATAACTGGGGACTCATTAAGTTACATAAAGACTTTAAACTCAAGAGGCATAACTGTACCCTTTTTATGTTCTAACTGTAATGTCTAAAGTTAAATGCATAATAATGGGAGTGGACACCCATTAAATGGTGGAGAAATATCACACAGTTTAATTGTTGTGCCCCATTCTTTGTTAGGGGTGCAGAGACATTAAGAATGTTTTGTCCTAAAGTCTTCTAGATTTTAGTCTGCAAATTTTGTTTAATTAAACAGAGCAGTAACTGTTGTATGCACTTGCTAGAAATAGCAAAGCAGTTATCCTTTAGAATGTGTAACTGTCATAGTAACTCAAAACTGGAGGGTTGGAACTACAACTGTAATAAACTGGTTTCAGAGTAATTCCCCAAGCTCTAAAATATGTGCACGCGCATTTGAATATCTCCATACAGTATTGTAATTCCTAAATATTTATAGCACTTTGCAATGCACACAGAATTTTCTACTCAACTGCTATCACTTATATGGTGAGAAGCATCTTAGAACTGACTCAATGAACTATAAAAACATCTCAGCATCCAGTCCCCGAGAGTGGCCAACAGGAAGCTCTCAAGAAGCCCACCGAGTGCAACACAAAGGTTCGTGCTGGTGTGTCAGACTAACACAGGTGACACATGTTCCCTTTCCCCACTTGCCTGGCCAGATTCTCCATTCACCAGCCAGCGCATGCTGCTCTTCTCCTTCTCTTCAGGTAACTGACCAGTCCTGGCAGGATTGTGTTCCTCCCTCCTCTGCCTCCTCCAGCAGCCACCCACTCAGATGAGGAGGCGGGGCAGGGACTCCTGCAGCTGTGGTATCAGTGCGACGAACCTCCGAACCAAGGTTCATGTCCATCTCTACTGACTAGGAATACATGGCAATGTGGTATCAGTGCGACAAACCAGCACGAACCTCCAAACCAAGGTTCATGCCCATCTCTACTGACTAGGAATACATGGCAATCCTAATATTGCTCTCTTTACAAGCCAGGAGTACAAATTAGGGTTTGTTCTTAGCTATTCATTCATTCTTCCATTCATTCATTCATTTGATTTATACACCGCCTATCCGGACTACTCGTCCACTCTAGGCGGCTAATAAACCCTGGCTTATCTGACAGTTCAGACAACAAGCTAACTAAACCATTTTCTGTTTATAGCTCCATGGGGTTTCTGTGGCTAACTCAAAAGACTTTTACAACCCACACGTGGCCTGTGGACCACACAGTTTTCAACCCTGGTTTTGCTTGTTGTGTCATAGGCAGCCACCAAACAGGAGTGAGTAAACAGTGTGTTCCAGCACATATTTCTTCTCTAAGAAGCCAGCAATCTTCACAATCCTGGCTTACAAAGTTGCACAAATGATCCCCAAACTCATCCACCAGAGCAAAGACAGGATTTGAACTCAGTTCCTCTAGAACAACACAAGGCACTTTTCCTATGTATCCTAACCTAGTATATAGGCTATATGCACACAGATACCAACGTCTCACACCATCCATCCCCGGTGGGACCCCTTTTACTTCTGTAGGCCTCTGGGCTACATGCCAGTGCCCAGGGGGGCAATTATATCAAGGTGTTTGTTTTCGATGGTATCATTTAGACACAAGTGAGCACAGAACCTGCCTTGCATGCATCATATATATATATATATTTATATATATATATATATATATAAATATAAAGGGTTTTCTGATGCAACTGCCTAACACTCAGAAAAGGAAGGGTGTTACTCATCTCTGAACTAAGGTGTGCTGTACCTCCACTTTCTTTATTCTGCCAAGAAGGAAAACCCAAAAGGACAGGCGGGGGAAGCCTCTGCCGCCCAGATGTTTGGAGGCCTTTGCGGGGATCCTCCCTCCCAAATACTACACTTGGTGGCTGGGTCTGATGCAGGGCTGCCCAACGGGTTGGTCTGAGATGGGAGGGACTAAAATTAGAAGGATCGTAACCGTGAGTGGAAGCTAAGGAGAACTCTGCGGCTAGGGAAAAGACCTGGATCCTTTCTTACTTTTATGAATTACGGTGTTAGCAACATGCAAGCAGAGTTGACAGAGGTATGAATGCTTGAGCGAGAGGAAGTGGGGTCTAGGAGACAGTCCCAAGAGGAAGTCCTTGAAGCCTACCACACCTTGTCTCCAGTCGGCTGGTCCATCCCGCTTGCTTCTCGGAGACTGGCAACGGCAATACATTCCACACCTGGACAGGTTATGCCTGAGCAAACAGAACAGAGGGTTACCATACAGGCAAAACCAAAAATAAAAAACAACCATAGAATTTCTGCCAAACACACACAAACACACACACACACACGTTACATTTCAGCCAGAACTTATTTTTAGAACACAACTCCCATAACTCCCCCCCCAGCAACGTGACCTTGTGTTGTCTAGAGAACTAGGGAACTCTAGTTTACTTCTCCAGATTACAGTGACCATAATCCTGAGCCAGCATAGCTTGCGGTCATGCTGGCTAGGCAATGAGTGAGTCCTCATCATCACCACCATCACCGCCTCTATGCTGTGAGCTAAACCAACCCCCCCCCCTTTCAGCAATTTAAACATCTTGCTATAGTTTGTGAAATGTTTCTTTCTCATTTAAAGAAAAAAACAGGCATCACGTAGCTTCCTTAAGGTATCTGCCAGAGAACAGAGAAAAGCAGGAACATGCACATATACAGAAAGGCACAGGGTAATTGTGTAATTCTTTTTCACTGACAGTTTCTAATCTGGTGTGTGTGTGTGTGTGTGTGTGTGTGTGTGTGTGAGAGAGAGAGAGAGAGAGAGAGAGAAATGCCAACCTCTTCTTTTCCTTCTCACCACGTTTTAATAAGCAGCTATAGGCCTCTGGTAATCACACAATACCTTTCTTATAGTTGACTCATACCTGGGAAAGAATGCATTTCTTCTGCTTCACTCCGACTTTAATTTTTTATTTCTAGAGGGAGATCTTTACCCAACGTGCACATTTATACTCTGTTCCATGAGAGCACGTCTATTCTTACTGCAGGAAGTCCTTGGGTGAGAAAGAGGAATGGAAGACCCCAGTTTCTACCAACTACCTCGGAGTGTAATCTCAGACTCCTTTTCCCTCCAAAGCACTGAGGCTTTTGTTTCTAGAAGATTCCTGGATTATGTCACCAACAATTCTGAATTTTTTGAAAAAAATCCTTTCTGGAAAGTCATAGTCCAGGAAGGAAGAAATCCCAGGCTCTACACCATCATACTCCTTTGGAAACGTAGGTTAAATAGTCTACTGGGAATGCAGGTTTAATTTGAGCCAGGACCCACTAACCTTCAGCCCCAGAAGCTGTTTTCAGTGCAATGATGCCACTTCAGAATATGCCACGTGATAATTCCTCTTGCTGAGTGATCAAAAGCCACATACCATCTAGAATTAGGGGCAAAGAGCTTACAGGATGCAGTTTAAGTCTTGGCACCTTCCATTCCCTAGAAATAAACAATTTATTTATATATTTATTGATGAGTACAGTACCTGTAAACCAAACGTTCGCAGATTTCAGTTGATTTCTCCCTGCTCAGCCAGTGTTAAAGTTAGATAGGAATCTGTGCGTGAGGTAGAAGAAGACAGACCTCACACAGAGGAGAAAATAATGTTTTCCTTCCCATGGAAAACAGGACAGTGCATTAAGATGTTGCTTCCCAGTCTGTCCAAGGATACCCTTCCTGCTCCTTGTAGCAATGGTGTTTTTAAGAAGCAAGTGGCTCCTTCCATGTCAGTGGGTGCAATTTATTTATTTATGTATTTCTACTCTGCCTTTCTCCTAAAAAGGACCCAAGGTGGCTTACATCATTAAAAAGAAACAATATTAAAAGGTAAAAACAATGTTACTAGAAATGTTACAAAGAATTAAACAAATATACCGTATTTGGAAAAGTAGATAAAAGCATTACTAAAAAGAGATGTAACAACAACAACAACTCAAACAAACAAGCAACCCCACTGGGGAGAAAAAAATCCTCCTAGACAGTCAATCACTAATGGAAAGTCTGCCTGAAAAGGATGGTTTTTGCCTGCATACAGGAAGGACAGCAAAGACGGGGCCAAGCAGGCCTCCAAAGGAAGGGAGTTCCCAAGTCTGGAAGTTCCCAAAGGAAGCCGTCGCAAACACACCGATTTTCAGCCAAAATACTACATCCAAAGTTAATGTGGTGTATTGGTGAGCATCTATGAGCATCTTTGCCAGGAAGACCTTCATCTCACCTAATCCCAGGAATGCTGTGCAAGATTCTTGAGATGGGGGAGCTGCTTGGGGGTCTCTGACAGAGGGGGGTTGTTAAATCCTCCTCCGCCTCTCACTGCCCTTGTGACCCTGGCTGACATTGCTGCTTCTGAGCCACCATTAGTGGCATGGAAGCAGTAAGGCTTAAGGTTGCTGGGGGAGGAAGAGAGAGAGCACTGTGGCTGGGGAGGCATGTAGCCTGTAGATCAGGCTTCGCAGAAGTCATATTATATATAGTCATCTGGTTTATAGCAACCCTAAAATGGTATGTGAGATATTTAAAGGGTGGTTTTAGCATTGCCATCCTGTAATGAATTTCCCTGGCCAAGAGGGATTTTGAGGCCGGGTCTCCAGACTCCTATTCTGTCCTTCCACTGTCACTATACCATACTAGCTACAGGTCAGACATCAATGGCATTCAAACATTATAAGCCTAAATCCAACTGCAAGTCGGCACTGGAATAGACCTATTACATTAATGGGATTTATATAAGCAAGTCTGTACTAGAGTAAACCTATTGAATTAATGGGATTTACATAGGCATTGGTCTATCATTCAGCAACCAATTCAATAGGGTCTGTTCTACCCAGGGATTTGTAGTCACATTTATTCTCTCATGACATTCACCTACATTAGTATTTTTTTTTTAAATTAATTCTACATTCAGTGCCAATATGATGGTACTACATTTTTCTGCCCAATGGGGAAATTAAAACTTTAAAAATAGGTTCCAAATATTGTACGTTTGTAGAGGTAGGCCCCAATTCAGATTACTGTAGTAGTACTTGATTAAAAGGTTGACGTGAATCTCAGATGTTCTTGGTTCAAATCATGAATGGAGGGAAACAAAAAAAAATTAAGGGGCACCTTCAAATCCTATCCTTGCAACATTCTGATCTAGGATGTGGACATCATAATTATTTCTAGAGGACTCATAACGGCCGGTAATAGTGTCCTACAGTACAAGACTGTCGTTCATGGTTACTGACATAATGCACGCAAATCACTCTGAAATGCTGCACATGAATGCTAAGGATTATTATTAAGAAGAACAGAATGTCAACAGCTGAGAGGTATTAGAAGCCAAAGGCTGCTTGAATGTGAGATCCATTTAGGGGGACAGGATGCTGTAGAAGGCAAGGCATAGCTTGAAACCCACCCCCCCTCCCAGGAAATACTCTCTGTGGTTCTCCCCCCCCAACCTTCCTCGTCGGAAAATAAAATTGGAAGGTGGGGGCCAACTGGGGAGGACCGTGTCAATCCCAGTCATTTCTTTACACAAGTGTATCCAGGAGAAAATAGCTTTAATCAAATAATCCTAATGGGGGTGAGGGAGTTCCCCAGAGGGTGGAATGTTTTCATGCTTACTCCCAAAAGTAAACAAAGGTGGATGGAAGAACTGAAGAGCGTTTGCAGTTTTAATTCTGATCCAGATTCGCCAAAGGCGGCTGGGGGTGGAAAGCAGCTCAGCGAGAGGGACTTTGGTGGAAAACACTGATGCAGACAAAGGCGTCTCTCAACAGGTCATGCTGCGGCCCGGGAGGCAAAGGGTTAACCCGAAGCGGGGGGGGGGGCAAGCCGCACTCTGGCACCTGTTTAAAGAGACATGTGGGAATTTTCCGGTCCTGACCCCTGCTGTTGACCCCTGGCGACCAGGCTACTGGGGAAGCAGGCCAAAATATGGGAACAATCTCCCCAGGCATGAAAACTGAAAGCTCAGGGGGAATGGAATGAAAGTTGGAGGGGAAAGAGGGGAGAGGCTACCCAAGGACTGGGGGGTGGGAGGGGA